CCTGTAGATCCACTGTAGACCCACTGTAGATCCACCTGTAGACCCACTGTAGACCCACCTGTAGATCCACCTGTAGACCCACTGTAGATCCACCTGTAGACCCACTGTAGACCCACCTGTAGACCCACTGTAGACCCACCTGTGCTGGTTCCTTGTTGATTTTATTGCTATATTTATGATTATTTTATGTGAGGCACCAGCCAGGCCTCCCTTCTGACACATAGGATGTTTTTGACTGGTATGTGTGGGATTTACTGTTATTGGTTAGATTTAATGGTTTTTAACCAGTCACACAAAGACATGTAATTTAAAGAATTACAAATACACACCCTTCAAAATACTGAATGATAAAGACAAGACAGAACTCAGACAACTGTAATAGTTTTTTCTTCAGATACATTATGTACAGTAAATTAGATAAACAACCATAAATCCTCCCATAATTGGACTTCTAGTTCAGTCCTTTGGTTCAGACCAGAAGCTTTACGCTCCAAAACCTGGATTCTTTAACTCCACAGAAAACAGACATTTGCTCTTCAGGCAGAAAACCTTTTAACTCCATAAAAAGGCAACAGATGGAGTCATACAAAAACAAGAGGTATCAGAAGGAGCTAGAACAAAAAACAGACACATTTTTACAGTCAAGCATATTTCTCTTAAAAATAAAAATGAACGAATTGACTTGGAAGAAGGTTTGTGACTGGATGTGATTTATAACAAACACTAGAAAAGAAAATATCAACTGTTTTAGTTTGATGTTCTTAGTTTGAACACACACATACATGGTTTTATTTTGAAAGGGAGACTTACGTTATTGCATTTATCATATCTGCGTGTTCGACCGATCAAGCTGCTTCGACTTGTGGTGACATCATTTTATGGTGACTGGAATCAGCAACACTTTTTACAACTTTTACACAACGATTTTTAGTTTTGTTTCGACGTTTACTCCATGAGGATGTTTACGTCTCACAAACGTTGCGTAGGACCAGCGCTGTGGAGCTCTGCCTCGTCGGAGGGGCGAGCACACAAACATGATACTAATCAGAGACGACATTAATTACATTAATTTTTATTTCAAAAGTGATTTTAAATATCATACTAATTATTATCATTAATATAGAACAAAACACTAATGTTTTCTTTCTTTTTAGAAATGAGTTTTTTATTTACTTTAATAAAGTGAGGCACATCTTGTGCTGTCACAAGCTTTCACAGTTAAAAGGATTTCTATAGATTTGATGGTTTTTCTGGAACCTGGTACCAACTGGTTTATGGAGCAGTACTGCTACATCAGTGGGTTTTAACTGGTCTCCATCTGCTCCAGACAAGTCTGGACCAAAGAAAACGTTTCAAACTGATTTAATGAGCAGCTTTATGAGAGCTCACAGTGTCTCACTGACTGGACCATCAGAGTGTTTGGTCAAGCTGAAGGTCCAGGACTGACCTGCTGAGTCACTGGACTTGTTTGTGCCCGTGCAGGGCTGGGATCTGTGTTTTTGGATCATCCAGGGTAAAGAAGATCATGGTCTGGTCTGAACACTGACCTGCACACGTTAGTGATGTCAGCTCCAGAGTAACCCTCCATCTGCTCTGCGATCTTGTCCAGGTCTACGTCGTGGGCCAGCTCCAGCTCCTTCAGGTTGATCCTGAGCAGCTCCACCCGCCCTTTAACTGAAACACAGGAAGCTGTCAGAGCGGACAGGAAGTGGATGAAGCCCGCACCCTGACCTGACGACACTGAGGAGAACATCACAGTTTGTTGTTGACAACATTTTAAGACCACATCCATTAGGCTGAAGATGGACCCTTGATGGTGAAGACCACCACAAACTGGTTCTGATGCTGATGCTGACAGAGAAGAGACAAAGTTAACTGAAGAGGTTCAGATCAGAAATGACTCCTGCAAGTCATGTGATTTCAACATGGCCTCAGGAAATGCAAGACCACCACAGTTTTGGAAAGAAACCAGCAGAAATATGAGGCCATCTTGTAACGTGACAATGGATGAGATTAAAGCAGGCAGGAAAACACCTGGGAGCCTCTTCTGTGTGAGACTTGGTCCAAACCACATGATTACATCAACATGAGTAAAGTTGTCTCTTACACTGCCTTTAAGCAGTGCAGATTGTCAGAGGGGATTCTTACACCAACTTAATAAAAACTTAGTACCACATATTCCAGACTATAACTCAGATTTTCTCATAATTTGTCTGGTCCTGAGACTTAAACTCCACTTCCTGTTTTCTTCTTCATGAGGCAGTTTGACTGATTCAACCCGACTGACATGAACCAAGGAGTGAACATTACCGTCTGCAGCCATGAGATGGCGCTCTAGGCTTGTGATGACCACAGTTTATGTTGAGTTTGTAGTGAGTGTGTAGCTTGTGATGACCACAGTTTATGTTGTGTTTGTAGTGAGTGTGTAGCTTGTGATGACCACAGTTTATGTTGTGTTTGTAGTGAGTGTGTAGCTTGTGATGACCACAGTTTATGTTGTGTTTGTAGTG